AAGCCACGGGCTCAGGCAATCCACTCACCTCAGCCTCCCAAAGGCGCGGGATTACAGGCTGAGCCACCGAGCCCAGCATAATCCAAATATTTTATGGCATTGGACAGTCGTGGGCGTCTGTCCCCACTCATGGACTGCCCCTTGCCTGGCCTCTGCTGAAGTGGGCTACCCTTCCCTCAATCCCCTCCCATCGACTGTGTCTGTTCCTGGCCAGCTTGGCTTCTGTCTGATCCCTTGGGCTGATAGGTGAGTGCTCTCTGATTCCCACTGTCGTGGCCTGGGAACCACTCTGTGTCTTTAAGGCAATGTTTTCATGTCTTCTATGGTCCTTTGTCATTCTGTAACCTAACTCTGAGATGGTGGTTTCATGTCCTTGTTCTTGGACCACGTACTGACTATTCTGAATAGCTACTTCCTGCAGTGCGCCTGCTGGAGACGTGGAGAAGTGAGTGATGCCTCAACAGTACATGGTCTCCACAGTACTCTAGTTCACACAATGCCCTTATGTCCACTAACAAGAAGAGTAGTTCTTAGTGCTAGCTGCGACAATGTACATGTAACGTGCTGGGCATGGTAGGGTCTATACTTTATTTACTCTATTTGTCTTAACAGCCCTGAGGCAGGAGACTGGGACTAAGTGAGTTTAAGAAACTGCCTAAGAAAACAGAAGAGCAGCCGGGCTCGGTGGCTCAGCCTGTAATCCCAGCACTTTGGGAGGGAGGTGAGTGGATTGCTTGAGCCCACGGGTTCGAGACCCGCCTGGGCAGCGAGACCTCATCTCTACAATAAATCAAAAAAATCAGCCGGGTGTGGTAGCGCATGCCTGTAATTCCGGCTACTCGGAAGGCTGAGGCGGAAGGATCGCTGGAGCCCAGCAGACGAGGCTGCGGTGGCCGGGATTGGCCACTGCACTCCAGTCTGGGCGACAGAGTGAGACTCCAACTAAAAAAAAAGAAAGAAAACAGAAGAGGTGGCGGACCTGGGACCTGAACCCTCTGTCTGCTCTGAAGTCTCTCTTATTAGCCACTGTACTCTACTACCTTGGCAGAGACTGATAACCAGGGAGGTCTGTCGACCCCAGTGTCGACCTGCTGGGCTCTGGGGATCCTTCTGCCTCAGCCTTCCAAGTAGCTGGAACTATAGGTGCACACTACTGCGCCCAGTTAATTTTTTATTTATTGTAGAGATGAGGTCTCACCATGTTGCCCGGACTGGTCTTGAACCCGTGAGCTCAGGCAATTCATTCACCTCGGCCTCCCAAAGTGCTGGGATTACCGGCTGAGCCACCAAGCCTGGCCTGCTCGGAAGTTTTTATGCTCCCCGTGCCCTGACTGTTCTCAGGGAGTGTCCTAATAGGATCAGATACTGAGATTTACAAATAATTCCAGTGATGGCAGAACAGGAGAAGGGCAAGACAAGCAGGACTGTGGGATTGTGAGAGCTCACACAGATGGAGACTTGGGATTATTGTCACCTTTCCTCAAGTGCCATGCTGCCTGCACTGGTTGGGGCACCTGATGAATGAT